CTTTCCACACTTTTTGTTATGGCCAAGAGCCAGGCCATGACACTGGACATTGGAACAGTACTTCGGCAGCACTCGATGACGTAGTATGCTTGAAATAGTGGCTCTGGAGCAGCTTTACTCGAGATTGAGAAACACCCAGCGTGTACTTATACTTACTGAGAAATATATCAATACAAATAGAGTTATTCCTCTCGTGTCTCACCTGCTAACTCCTGCTAACAGCTGTTAGCCTGCTCACGGTGACGCGCTTCTTCTTCGGTGGTTTGAGGTGTGTCGCGGCTCGTTTCCGCGCCCTGATGTTCAGAAACCTCCTTCGTGTCTTTGACTACCTGATTTGCACTGCGCATGCGCGAGTTGGTCCGCCATAAACTTAGAAACGATAACTTTAAAAAGTGTGTTGCTTTGTGATCACATCTGTAAGATAATGAAGTCAGTGAGAAGAGTCTCAGTGATCAGGGGCCTCATTTATAAAGGGATATACGCTCAAAAAATGGCGTACGCCAGTTTCTACGCAATGTTTGCGATTTATAAAATACTAACTTGACGGGAAAATGTGCGGTCCTCCACGCAAACTCTAACCCATGCGTACGCACTAAGCACACAAACGGGAGAGACGAGAAACTGCGACCCCGTTGGCAGAAGGAAGAATGCAGAGAAATATGTGGAAATAATACCATAAATAAAATGTTACCTCTCATTTATCAAATATGAAGAATTCATTTTCAAACATTGATTAAAGCCAATCTTAAAATGATGAAACAAACGCCTGTTTGAGACTCCTCAGTGCACACAAAAACATAACTTGGAGAAATAAATAAATACGGATATGCTATTTAAAACCACCTCGAATATGTTGTGTTAATGTTATGAAATGTTTTCTCATAAATGATGCGGTAAGCAGGAGGACAGAATTACGTCTAAACTGACGCCGTTTTGCATTTCTATAGGTTGTAGATACGAGCATGGTTTTATATACTATCACGTTTAATCGTGTTTTATGCCGTTTGCCAAGACTTGATAAGTCGCTCGTAAAACACAGGAGGTATGGAAACTAAGAACACCATATGTGGTAAATTGTACAGCTAATATAACACAACACATTGTATTTCCTTTAACTGGTGGATTATGGATATATAGTTGCTGATCGACAGCTGGAACACAAACCACCAAATACAACACAATCATTCAGATCCAGTCGTCATGACTCCACTCCGGAGGGATTCCCCCATCATTTCTTACAGTTTCTCATCAAGGGGGGGTCTCCTGTCCCCGGGACAAACACACTGCCTGAGGAAGGTTATGTGTATTTGTTTTGTCATTAACTTTTTTCGGACCACTTATTTATTTATTTTGGTAACGATCCGACCTCCATGCTGCTACTCTGGTTCAAACTGCATCCACCAAACAATATGATTTATCTCGACCTCCCCACAATAACCAAAATCTGACACGGTGTGAGATGTCTTTTTTAGCTGTTCTATCGTAATTTCCTGCGATCTTCTTCATGCAGTCAGTCAAAAATGAATGAATGAATGGGCGTTTCTTTGACTATGTATAGGCAAATATGGGCGTTACGAGTCGATTGTGATTTATAAAGGGAAACAGGCGTAGGGAGTGCCGTACGCACTTCCCTCGCCGGTACGCAATGTTTTGTGAATCGGAAAATGGCGGAAAATTTATGTACCTATTTTTGTGCTTTGTACTACGTAAGCAACCTTCCTACGTCAATCCTACGCAAGGCGTTATAAATGAGGCCCCTGGCCCTAAAGCTGGGAGACACCTTCCAGCTTGAGCAATGATTATAAGCAGGGTGCAGTCTCCATGTTCTCCATTTGAATCCCATATCTTGCCTTTCTACAAATATATCAGGGACTATGGTGTTCCAAGAAACATTTGTAATGTATATACTGAGTGTGCCAACTAATAACTTTAATATGGGGGGGGGGGGGGAGCGGGGGGCATGCTCCCCAGGGAAGTTATTTTTAAATATTGAAGTTAAAAGCATCAACCTGGTGCACTTTGAGCACATTCAGAGATCTACGGATGCAGCTCTCGACCCTCATATGAAGCAGAACTGTATTTCGATAATCAAAAATCATTAGAATATGATCACATCCAATAACAAATAGTTTAAACTTTTATTTTATAAAGTCCTCTCTCCTATCTTTATCTTATCTTATGTTACCTAGTCTGCTTTCTTTCTTTGTATGTATGCATGTTTTACTAATCACTTAAACTTTATTATTTTTTTTTTACTGTCCTATAGTACACTTTGGAATGATTTCTTAACTTGTGTTTTACAAATATATTAAATAGATAAAGGTGTGCCTTGGAAATATGTGTTTACTGAGCTGTAGTTATCAAAGCCTGTCAGTCTGAGCTGTAGTTATCAGAGCCTGTCAGTCTGAGCTGTAGTTATCAAAGCCTCTCAGTCTGAGCTGTAGTTATCAAAGCCTCTCAGTCTGAGCTGTAGTTATCAGAGCCTCTCAGTCTGAGCTGTAGTTATCAGAGCCTCTCAGTCTGAGCTGTAGTTATCTCTCTCAGTCTGAGCTGTAGCTATCAGAGCCTCTCAGTCGGAGCTGTAGTTATCAGAGCCTCTCAGTCTGAGCTGTAGTTATCAGAGCCTCTCAGTCTGAGCTGTAGTTATCAGAGCCTCTCAGTCTGAGCTGTAGTTATCTCTCTCAGTCTGAGCTGTAGTTATCAGAGCCTCTCAGTCTGAGCTGTAGTTATCAGAGCCTCTCAGTCTGAGCTGTAGTTATCAGAGCCTCTCAGTCTGAGCTGTAGTTATCAGAGCCTCTCAGTCTGAGCTGTAGTTATCAAAAAACATCTCTGTTATACTCTGTGTACTTATACTCACAGTTATATACACTCTGTGTACTTATACTCTGTACTTATACTCACTGTTATACTGTGTACTTATACTCACTGTTACTCTGTATACTTATACTTACTGTTATATATACTCTGTGTACTTATACTTACTGTTATATACACTCTGTGTACTTATACTCACTGTTATATATACTCTGTGTACTTATACTTAATGTTATATATACTGTAAACTTATACTTACTGTTGTATATACTCTGTATACTTACTGCTGTTGTATATACTTATACTTACTGTTGTTGTATATATGCTAAGTATAGTTATAAGTATACTTACTGTTGTTGTATACATACTCAGTATACTTGTACTTATTGTTGTATGTGTACTCAGTATACTTGTTGTATATGTATTCAGTGTACTTGTTGTATATGTACTCAGTGTACTGTACACATACAACAGTACACTGAGTACACACTACACTGAATACACAGTACACTGAGTACACAGTACACTGAGTATATATACAACAAGTGCACTGAGTACGCAGTACACTGAGTATATATACAACAAGTACACTCAGTACACATACTACAAGGACACTGAGTACACAGTACAATGAGTACACTGAGTATATATACAAGTGTACTCAGTGGACTCAGTGTCCTTGTTGTATGTGTACTCAGTGTACTGTGTACTCAGTGTACTTACTGAGGGTAAAGTATGTCTCGCTGCAGTAATCCTTTAAGAAGTCTCAGCAGACTGAAAATACTTCACTGAGCTGCAACTCACTGCTAATATACAGTATTATATACTTAAGCAATAGCTCACGACAGGCCGTGGTATTTGCTCAGTATATCACAGCTGAGGGGCGTGGTTCGGCCCGACGCGAAGCACATAGTGCGAGGTGGTTGCTATGCAACAACACTAACAGCTAGCGAACATATTAGACAGAGAGCGTTGATCCATTATTTGGCTATTTATTTACATTAATATTACATGTTGCCGTTTATTGTGCACCCACTGAAAAACTGTCCAGCATCAGTAGAATGGCTTACGTGGTTACTTGTATAGGTTGAGGTTGTTCTAGGCTGTTGCTTGGCGTGGCAAGAATATTGCTCCACTTTCTCCGGTCCCCGAGATTCGGCTTCCAGTAGCTCTGGAGAGAGCTTTCGCACCTGTGGCCACTAACGGTCATACTTTCTCTGCTTTGTTTCAAGACCCGCATCAGAAAGCTTTTGAATGGTGGTACTTTTCCAGTTGGTATACCTGCTCTTCACGTAGCTCTGCATGTCGTCGTTTAGGTGCTTTTTTTTCTGGAGATAGGCACTCCTCAATCCACTCCTCCATAGTAAGACCCCCCCGGAGGTCGAAGTTAATCTTAAATGTTTCCATCTTATATAAGTTTGTTTCGTAACGGAAGAAATGTAAATATATTTATAAAACGGACAAGTCAAATCAAGCAATCTGATTGGTCGATAGCGTTTTTGCGGACCTTTTTGATTACAGATTTAAAACATCGTTGCTTGCTTCATTATGTCAAACCTTGGAAAGTATCTAAATATCCCTGCCCTAATGCCAAAGGAACTGCACACTGAATATGTTTTGCCGTTTGATGTCTATGTCTGGACCGCTGCGTAAAAAGGAGGGTTTCTGCCCCGTTACTTCTCCGCTGTTTTCTTGTCCCAGTTTGAAAAGCAAACTGCAGGCAGTTTGCTTTTCAGCCCAACTGTATACTGTTTTTCTCAGACGCGGAGGGATACTGACTTGTTGTGAAAAGTAACTACAATTCTACCCATGGTATACGCTCAGTATATCACGGCTAAGAACCAATAACGGGGCAGAAACCCTCCTTTATACGCTTCGCGTCGGGCCGAACCACACCCCTTAGCTGTGATATACTGAGCATATACCACGGCCTGTCGTGAGCTATTGCTTAATTAATACATGATGTCTAATGTAATATAGAGTATTATACACATTATATACAGTATACACAGTATTATATACAGTATTAGTACATGATGAGTATTCTCTCTTGTCCCCCTGCAGGTTCAGGAGGGAACTGACACTGAGATCCAGAAACTCCACATATTTATTGTTGTTATTATTTATATTTATATTTGTCATCAGTATATAAAGTATTATTTGAAGACGTAGAGAGGAAGAGGAGGATGGGATTTGCTGAGCTGCTGGAGGAGGTGAGACAGTTTCTCTAACCCAGGGGGTGAGACAGGAGGTGAGACAGTTTCTCTAACCCAGGGGGTGAGACAGTTCCTCTAACCCAAGAGGTGAGACAGTTTCTCTAACCCAAGAGGTGAGACAGTTTCTCTAACCCAAGAGGTGAGACAGTTTCTCTAACCCAGGTGGTGAGACAGTTTCTCTAACCCAGGAGGTGAGACAGGAGGTGAGACAGTTTCTCTAACCCAGGGGGTGAGACAGTTTCTCTAACCCAGGAGGTGAGACAGGAGGTGAGACAGTTTCTCACCACCTGTCTCACCCATCTCTCACCCCCTGTCTCACCCCCTGTCTCACCACCTGTCTCACCCATCTCTCACCACCTGTCTCCCCCTGTCTCACCACCTGTCTCCCCCCTCTCTCACCACCTCTCTCACCAACTGTCTCACCACCTGTCTCACCCTCAGGCTGGGGGCTTTGGCAGATATCAATGGCTCCATGTGACTCTCATCAGTTTGCCTGGTCTGATGATGGCCAGTCAGAACCTGCTGAACAACTTCGTCTCAGGAAGTCCCGCCCACCACTGCAGCCTACCGACCAATCACAGCAGCCGATACAACCTGTCCCACTACCAGGTGACCCGTCTGTCTGTCTGTCTGTCTGTCTGTCTGTCTGTCTCTCTGTCTCTCTGTCTCTCTGTCTGTCTGTCTGTCTGTCTGTCTGTCTGTCTGTCTTTCTGTCTGTCTCTCTGTCTGTCTGTCTGTCTGTCTGTCTGTCTGTCTGAACCGGTGATGGATGGATGTGATTGGTAGCTGTCGATGAATGGATGGCTGTGGTTTGTCGCTGTCACTGAATGGATGGATGTGATTGGCCGCTGTCACTGAATGGATGGATGTGATTGGCCGCTGTCACTGAATGGATGGATGTGATTGGCCGCTGTCACTGAATAGAGGGATGTGATTGGTTGTTGCAGGTAGATGAGAAGCAGCTTCTGAGGGCCTTCATCCCGATGGACTCTTCAGGAAGTAGACTGGACCGCTGCAGGAGGTTTTATTATCAATATCTTCATTAATATATTACTAGTGTTGATTGGTTAACCTCCCTGTGACATCACTTCCTGTTTGTGTTGTTCAGGTTTGTGGAGCCTCAGTGGCAGCTGCTAGCGGCTAACAGCTCAGCTAACGTTAGCCAGATCCCAACCGAGGGATGTTTGGACGGATGGGACTACGACCGCTCAGAGTTTCTCTCCACCACCGTGTCCGAGGTCAGAGGTCACCATGTCCATCTGGCTAACGCTAACCACGCTAACGCTAACCACGCTAACGCTAACCACGCTAATGCTAACCACACTAACGCTAAGCATTATTTACATTACATATAATTTAGCTGACACTTTTATTAAAAATGTTTTTATTATAGACTTACAGTCGGTGGAGAACCACAAAGAATCAAACTCTGACAACAGGAGCAGATACAGTGCATCCACGAAGTATTCATACCCCTTCAGTTTTTACACATTTGACATGTTACAGCCTCATTTCAAAATGGATTAAATGTATTTGTTTTCTCAACATTCTAGACACAATACCTCATAATGTCAAAGTGATTTCATGTGCCTTTTGCTGAAGAGTGGCTTCCTTCTGGCCACCCTACCATAAAGGCCTGATGGGTGGAGTGCTTCAGCGATGGTTGTCCTAGGTTCTCCCATCTCCACAGAGGAACACTGGAGCTCTGTCAGAGTGATCATCGGGTTCTTGGTCACCTCTCTGACTAAGGCCCTTCTCCCCCGATGTTCAGTTTGGTTTTGGCGGCCAGCTTTAGGAAGAGCCGTGGTGGTTTCTAACATCTTCCATTTGCAAATGATGGAGACTACTGTGCTCAATGGGGCGTTCAATGCTGCAGGCATTTTTCTGTACCCTTCCCCAGATCTGTGCCTTGATACAATCCTGTCTCTGAGGTCTACAGACAATTCCTTGGACCTCATGACTTGGTTTGTGCTCTGATATGCACTGTCAACTGTGGGACCTCATATAGACAGGTGTGTTCCTTTCCAAGTCATGTCCAATCTATTGAATTTACTACAGGTGGACTCCAGTCAGGTTATGGAAACATCTGGAGGATGATCAGTGGAAACGGGATGCACTTGAGCTCAATTTTCAGTGTCATAAGAAAAGGTGTGAGTACTTATGTACATGTGATATTTCATTTGATTATTTTCAAGACATTTGCAAACAAATCTTTAAAAACGTTTTTCACTTTGTCATTATGGATTATTGTTTGTGGAATGTTGAGGAAAAAAAATAATTTAATCCATTTTGAATCAGCTGGTCTGAGACCAGAGCTCCAGATAGAGAACCTGAGGGGAAGGGTTAGGGTTACCTAACAGCTAGCAGCTAACAGCTAACAGCCAACAGCTAGCAGCTAGCAGCTAACAGCTAACAGCCAACAGCTAGCAGCTAACAGCTAACAGCTAGCAGCTAACAGCTAACAGTTTACAGCTAGCAGCTGGCAATTGTCTCTCTCCTAGCTGTCTCTCTCCTGTCTGTCTCTGACCTGTCTGTCTCTCTCCTGTCTGTCTCTCTCCTGTCTGTCTCTCTCCTGTCTGTCTCTCTCCTGTCTGTCTCTCACCTTGTCTGTCTCTGACCTGTCTGTCTATCTCCTGTCTGTCTCTCTCCTGTCTGTCTCTGACCTGTCTGTCTCTCTCCTGTCTGTCTCTCACCTGTCTGTCTATCTCACCTGTCTGTCTCTCACCTGTCTGTCTCTCTCCTGTCTGTCTCTCACCTGTCTGTCTCTCTCCTGTCTGTCTCTCTCCTGTCTGTCTCTCTCTCCTGTCTGTCTCTCTCCTGTCTGTCTCTCTCCTGTCTGTCTCTCTCCTGTCTGTCTCTCACCTGTCTGTCTCTCACCTGTCTGTCTCTCACCTGTCTGTCTCTCTCCTGTCTGTCTCTCACCTGTCTGTCTCTCTCCTGTCTGTCTCTGACCTGTCTGTCTATCTCCTGTCTGTCTCTGACCTGTCTGTCTCTCTCCTGTCTGTCTCTCACCTGTCTGTCTATCTCCTGTCTGTCTCTCTCCTGTCTGTCTCTGACCTGTCTGTCTCTCTCTGTCTGTCTCTGACCCTGTCTGTCTATCTCCTGTCTGTCTCTGACCTGTCTGTCTCTCACCTGTCTGTCTCTGACCTGTCTGTCTATCTCCTGTCTGTCTCTCTCCTGTCTGTCTCTGACCTGTCTGTCTCTCACCTGTCTGTCTCTCACCTGTCTGTCTCTGACCTGTCTGTCTATCTCCTGTCTGTCTCTCTCCTGTCTGTCTCTGACCTGTCTGTCTCTCACCTGTCTGTCTCTCAGTGGGACCTGGTCTGTGGTCTCCGGCCTCTCAAACAGATGATCCAGACCATCTATATGGGGGGCGTTCTGACAGGAGCCATTGTGTACGGAGGGCTGTCAGACAGGTACAAACACACACACACACAATACACACACACACACACAATACACACACACACACACACACACACACACACACACACACACACACACACACACACACACACACACACCACACACACCACACACACACACACACACACACACACAGACACGAACTGTGAGCAGCAGCCAATCAGAATGTGTCCTCAGGTATGGGAGGCGGTCTGTGCTGATCTGGTCCTACCTGCAGCTGGGGGTCCTGGGGTGCAGCTCGGCTTTCCTTCCCTCGTACTCCACCTACTGCGCCTTCAGGTTCCTGAGCGGCATGGCTGTCTCTGGAGTCATTCTGAATGGATTCTCTCTGAGTACTGTCTAACTGCTACCTGTCTGTCTGTCTACCTGTCTGTCTGTCTGTCTATCTGTCTGTCTGAACAGAGTCTCTCTGAGTACCTGTTTACCTGCTACCTGTCTGTCTGTCTATCTGTCTGTCTGTCTGTCTGTCTGTCTGTCTGTCTGACTGTCTCTGGAGTCATTCTGAACTGAGGCTGCCTTTACACGGGAATGTTTGCGTTTACGCACCGAATGCGTTCACACGCATTTGATTCATTTAACGTGTCTGTTCACACGAGACCGCTCGACCCGCTAGAAACGCTGTAGTACATATGCCAGGCCTGTAAGTGGCGCTGCTGCCGCCACAAAATACACCAAAAGCAGCGAAGAAGACCCCGGAGCATGGTTGCCATGGTTGCCCTTCTGTTTATGCCCCGCGGTGGATTTAGCAACATGTAGTAGTTCATGTAATTCTCCATGTCCACTTGTTGCTGATGGTTGTGGTAGAGGAGCTGTAGATGTTGTACTAACATCTGTAGCATGGTCAGTAGCAGTAGCACTAGCAGTAGCTACTGACAGTAGCTACTGACCATGCTACAGCAGTGAGCAGCAGAGGTGGGGAGAGGCGGGGCTATGGCTTCATCTATCGGGAAATGATCGTATAGAGGCGATTACACGGAGCCGTTTGCCCCCCCAGAGCGTTCCGTTTGCAGATCTATACCCGTTATCGTTTGTCGGGTCCGTTTCTATCGTTTTGTTACGGCCTTGTGTAAATAAAAGGGCTATACGCAAGAGAAACTATGCGGATACAACCCGTTTCGTTCCCGTGTAAAAGGGTTCTGAGTCTCTCTGAGTACCTGTCTACCTGCTACCTGTCTGTCTCTAACCACCTGTCTGTCTCTAAACACCTGTCTCTCTGACTACCTGTCTGTCTCTAACCACCTGTCTGTCTCTAACCACCTGTCTGTCTCTAACTACCTGTCTCTCTAACTACCTGTCTGTCTCTAACCACCTGTCTGTCTCTAACTACCTGTCTCTCTAACCACCTGTCTGTCTGCAGAGGTGGAGTGGATCCCCATCAAACAGAGGACTCTGGTTGGAACTCTCACTTCCTTCTTCTTCACGTTTGGTCAGATGATCCTGGCGGGGCTTGCCTATTGGCTGAGAGACTGGAGGAAACTTCAGCTGGTGGTGTGTCTGCCCCAGTTCCTGTTCTTCTCCTACTCCTGGTCAGTGCCTTTCAAAGTAAAAGCATCAGGAGGTTCTGCTCTCTGATTGCTCAGGAGGTTCTGCTCTCTGATTGCTCAGGTGGCTCTGCTCTCTGATTGGTCAGGTGGTTCTCGGAGTCGGCCCGCTGGTTGGTTCTGAATCGTCGTTCTGAAGACGCTCTGAAGTCTCTGCACCGAGTCGCTCGAGTCAACGGGAAGAAAAACATCGAGGACACGTTAACGCTGGAGGTAAGCTGTCAACTGTCCGTCATACATTTAGAGATGTCTGCTGTCCAATGAGAAGCTGAGCTCGGCACTGTGTGACCTGTGATGTCCAATGAGAAGCTGAGCTCGGCACTGTGTGACCTGTGATGTCCAATGAGAAGCTGAGCTCGGCACTGTGTGACCTGTGATGTCCAATGAGAAGCTGAGCTTGGCACTTTGTGACCTGTGATGTCCAATGAGAAGCTGAGCTCGGCACTGTGTGACCTGTGATGTCCAATGAGACGCTGAGCTTGGCACCGTGTGACCCGCAGGTGCTGCACTCCCACATGAAGAAGGAGATGGACTCGAGCCGCTCGACCTTCAGGGCGTACGACCTTCTGAGGACGAGACAAATGAGACGCATCTCCATCTGCCTGCTGGTCGTCTGGTGGGAGTTCAATAAACCTTTATTAACATAAACACACCTTCATTAACACCTTCATTAACACATCCACATCTTCATTAACACCTTCATTAACACATCCACGTCTTCATTAACACATACACACCTTCATTAACACATCCACACCTTTATTATTTATTATTGTTATTCAAACTGAAAACACAGATACACATGTCAGATAGCAGCAGTGTGTTTACATAGATTATATATCTACATGATATATTTCTACATGATATATTTCTACATGATATATTTATATAATTATATATCTATGTACATAAAGTTATGCCCGTCTGACAGTGATGTCATCCTGCAGGTTTGCCACCAGCTTTGCGTATTATGGTCTGGCGATGGACCTGCAGAAGTTTGGGGTGAGTCACATGATTAGCACTGATGCTACATGTAAGCTAACAGCAGCTAAGCTAACACTTCCTGTTACTCTAGTGCAGGGGTTTTCAAAGGCTGCGTTTCACTTCGGTTAAATGGATTCCTTGCGTCCCTCACTTGCGTCGTTTCCCTGCGACTAGTCCCTCCCACCAGGGAAGCATGGAGAGACGCAAGGAAACCACGAGAAGCAGGGAAATTTGTTTTAAGAGCAATGGGACGTCCTTTCCTCCGGAGCGTCACGTGAAGCGACGTCCGTTTGTGATGACGCCGCACAGCTGATTGTCTGACAGCAGCTCTGTCCCCGTTATTTTCACAAACACCCCCGCCTCTGTTAGTACACATTTACTGACACAAACATTTGTATCATCTGTTGTAGACCCAAATAAATAAAATCAAATAAGAACTAATTCTCAAAAAAGATAAACGCCATTCTTAAAATGTATAAACGAATATTAGTTTGATTAATATTGATTAGAGTGCACAATATAAATAAAATAATTGAGAGAAGAAAAAGAGATATGTTATCTATCAAAACCCAGTTAGATTAACATTCATTGGATTGCACACTTTGTCTGTTTGTGTGGATATGTAGCAAATCAACATGTTAAATAGCACTTAATGACTGACTGAATGGAAATGACAATAAATGAAAATGTAAAACGAAAAAAGCGATCACGAAAATGTTTCCAATAAATGAATGAAATGATTTTTGTCCACTTTGTTGTTCAGATATATCACATATTTGTAACTGAATGATGCATTCATTGAAACAAAACACAGTATGAACTGAGGAGTGAGTCCCGTGAGTTTCATGTGTTTTCTTCACTCCGCTGGGAAACTGCTCTCATGTCAAGAAGCATCAGATCAGTGCATGCGCTGCATCGTCCAATCAGTGAGCGATACACAGTAAGGGGGCGGGGCGAGTGTCTGAGGATTTCATCGAAGGATGGTCTGGTGGTTCCTCGGTTATAGCTCCTCCATTTTCGCTCCTCGCTCCTCGATCCTCGGTCCTCCGGCAACTTCCGGTGAGACCGAGACCGAGGAGCGAGGAAATGAAAAATAAGAGAAGTGAAACGCAGCCAAAGTGTGGGAAGGTGAGCCTCCCCTCAGAGAACATAAGAACAGCCGCGCCCCCCATCCCAATTATTATTGCTATTATTATTGTTGTTGTTGCTATAATGCAGGGGCATTCAATTGCATTTCAAAGAGGTCCAGTAAGAGAAAATGTCATTAAATGCTCTGTTTTCGCTGTCTACCTTTCTTTTTTTGAGCACTTCATTTTAAATGACTCTGACTGTTCCTCTCTTCTTGTCTCGTCTCTGTGTGTGTGTTTGAATCTATGGTGCTGAGTCCCAGTCTTCTCTGATGTTACACTGCAACCTGCCTGTCCAACCACACACTCTGTCTGTCCAACACATGTCCTGCAATACACATGCTGCAGCTGCCCAGCTACTCACTGTTTGTAAAAGTAAATAAATAGTATTTTCATTTCAATAATTTACTTTCTTTACCCTGCTTCATAAACAATACTGACATCGCTGTGCTCCTCCGAGTCTGGGGTGTGAGGATGTGAGGACAGCGCGAGGACACAGACAGGGAGGCTGCTTTACTTCATAAAGGAAATGGCGTCAATATTAACAACACAGGAGCTAAAACGCTTCATAACCTTCATTACGTGTTAAAGAAAGAACATAAGAAAGGTTGACAAAGATGAGGCTGTTAAACGGGCAGCGGGTCCGCTTTATGTAGAAAGAGAGAGGGAGAGAAAGAGAGACGCTGAGCTGCACCATGCAGCGATCAGCTGATACGGAGAGAGAGCTGCAGTCCGCGGGGCTCGGCCTCCTGTCCTCACAACTCTTATTATTCCCGGGACCGGACAATTGTTATTTGTTCTTACTCCGAACCGAGTTTTGCTTCCCAACCCTGCCACTGTGCTACACGATCCCGCCCCGTCTAACAGTACAGAAAGCGGCGAGATGCATTTCCTTAGGAATCGACAAGCAGAACCGAAACTAACATTTATGGGCGAAAAACTTCACTTGTCCGTCGGACACGTCAATGGAAAAATGTATTTGTCCGATATTATAAATAACACGTCCCGGACGATCGGAGGTGTGCTTTTTCGCACACTGCATGTTGCCGCTCGCATAAAGTTAGCTGAAATTAACCAGCTAGATTTAACTGTTTCTCGTTATTTTTCTCACGCTGCGCCTCCCCTGAAGCTCTCTGGCGCCCCCCAAGGGAGGCGCGCCTCACACTTTGAAAACCGCTGCTCTAGTGAATGTTTTCACTAACAGAGACATACAATCAAATTACATCAGAAAGAACAAACATACCTCCTCCTGTCTCACCTGTTCCTGTCTCAGCTGTCCTCCTGTCTCACCTGTCTCTGTACCACCTGTTCCTGTCCCACCTGTCCAACATGTCTCCATCCCACCTGTCTCACCTGTCCAGGTGAGTATCTACCAGATCCAGCTGATCTTCGGGGCCATGGATTTTCCCGCCAAGCTGTTGGCTCTGGGCATGCTCAGTTACCTGGGGAGACGCGTCTCTCAGGCCACCTGCCTGTTCGTCTCCGCCCTCTTCATCTTCGCCAACATCCTGGTCCCTGCAGGTAACACACACACACACACACACACACACACACACACACACACACACACACACACACACACACACACACACACACACACACACACACACACACACACCACACTCACTCACTCACTCACACACACACACTCACTCACTCACTCACTCACTCACTCACTCACTCACTCACTCACTCACTAACACACAGAGTGTACTGAGGTGTGAGAGACAGGTGTACTCCCCCCCACAGACATGCAGACGGTTCGCACCACGCTGGCCTGTCTGGGTAAATGCTTCACCTCGGCCTCCTTCACCACCGTGTACCTATACACAAGTGAGCTGTACCCCACCGTGCTCAGGTGAGCCCCCGTACATATATAAATACATATATACAGTATACATACATTACACAGCCAAGCATCATCTCTGTGTGTGTTTGTGTTGTGTGTGTGTGTGTTGTGTGTGTGTGTGTGTGTGTGTGTGTGTGTGTGCAGGCAGACAGGATTGGGCTTTGTTTCCACCATGGCGAGGGTCGGCAGCATGGCGGCGCCCGCGGTCCTGATCCTTGATGAGGTCTCTCGTTGAACATGTTATCATATTTGTTGTTGTTGTTGTTTTTTGTTTTTATAAGTACGTCCAGGAATCAGATACATCTCCCCCTTCCTACGTAATTCATGCTAACCCTTCTGATGGACTACATTTCCCAGGTACTCCCTGCTCTGCCCAGTGTTGTTTACGGGGGGGCGGCGGTGTTAGCCAGCGTCTTCGCCTGCTTCCTGCCGGAGACGCTCAACAAGCCGCTGCCCGACACCATCGAGGACGTGGAGGAGAACGGGTAAGCTAACGGCTAGCAGCTTAATTAGTCGCTCTGTAAGATAGCTGAAACAGCTGTGCTAGCGTTAGTAGTGCCAGCATTGTAAGTATAACCTTTGTTAGTCTTATTAGCCGGGACAGGGTCATCGGTGTTAGCTTTGTTAACAGGGTTAGCCTTATTAGCTCTGAAAGCGTATATATATCCCTGTTAGCTGTGTTAGCATCCTTGCTTATATAAATGTTTTTGTTCAGGTCGGAAACAAACCTCGCCCCTCTCCAACCAGAAGCAGGCGTGGCTTTGAAAGAGGGCGTGGCCACAACCGAGGGCGTGGCTTTAAAAGAACTGAAGGAGGCAGAGGGGAGTGGCCTCAACGCTCTCTGACCAATCACATGGACCCTGACCCCCCCCCCAATGCTCTGACCAATCACACGGACCCTGACCCCCCCAATGCTCTGACCAATCACACAGACCCTGAACCCCCCCAAAGCTCTGACCAATCACACGGACCCTGACTCCCCCCAACGCTCTGACCAATCACACGGATCCTGACCCCCCCCAACGCTCTGACCAATCACACGGATCCTGACCCCCCCAACGCTCTGACCAATCACACGGATCCTGACCCCCCCCAACGCTCTGACCAATCACACGGATCCTGACCCCCCCAACGCTCTGACCAATCACACGGATCCTGACCCCCCCAACGCTCTGACCAATCACACGGATCCTGACCCCCCCAACGCTCTGACTAATCACACGGACCCTGACCCCCCCAAAGCTCTGACCAATCACACGGACCCTGACCCCCCCCAACGCTCTGACCAATCACACGGATCCTGACCCCCCCCCAACGCTCTGACCAATCACACGGATCCTGACCCCCCCAACGCTCTGACCAATCACTTGGACCCTGACCCCCCCAACGCTCTCTGACCAATCACATGGACCCTGACCCCCCCCAACGCTCTCTGACCAATCACATGGACCAGGGACGTGCACAGACATTTTGGGGGGCAGGGGCTCAAGTGAGGAAAAGGGCATTAATAAAAAAAAAAAAAGTTAAAGAAAAAAAGAAAATATATATAAATATATATATATAGTTGTATCTCTGACTTACGGCCCGTCCACACAGCGGCGTGCGTTGAAGCTTGCTCCATTTTTTGGAATATGAGGAAATGACCTGCGGTGTGTCTCTCCCAGCATACACGCGGTTTGATTGGCTAACGCTTGTACTGGCAGATTTGCATAAACAGGATTTGATTGGCTGACGCTTCCACCGAAGCTTCAGAAGCTTCAAAAGTTGAACATTTCTCAATTTTTCTTTTGCAGCGAGCCACGCCAGCAAAGCTCCGCTTCGCTTCCCACAATGCAGTTCGGCGAAAAGTGACGTCACCCCATTCAAGTGAATGGTGAAGCTTTCAACGCACGCCGCTGTGTGGACGGGCCGTTACCCTCACAACTCACGCAATTGTTTAATACTCAACAGAATTCTACAAAATAATCAGTTAACACAGAGACAATGGTCTTCTTTAGTATTCACTACGCACAAGAGCAGACATCAACAAAGGAAACTATGCCACAATGTGCATGTTTTCTATGCTACTAGTTCATTGCTATAATAATTAGTTTATTTTAGCACAACATGAAGTCCTTTGAATTATTTTTGTGGTATTAAAATAAATAACACTTCAAAATCAACAAATCTTCACACAAAACTGAAAAAGTCTGTTCTCTACATAAATACGCAAACCAACCTACACTCCAAACTACAAGTAGGGCTAAGTTTAGTTGCAACAATTACACTTAGTGCATTCTGCTCTCCTCTCCTACTCATTTACTTCATTTAATTGGACAAAACGCATCAAAAATGCTGAAAAAACTGTGCAGAAATATTTAATAAGAACATGCAAAAATACTGCAACTTTACTGAAATTATTTAACAAGGTCTTGAAATCTGAAATCAAATATTTTGTTATTAACTTCTTTTGTTACTAACTTTCTTTGTATCTTGTATCTTTCTTTGCACTTGGAAGTTGTTAAATCTTTGTTGGTGTCTTCACTTGTTGTCTCTCCTTCCTCCCTTACAGCAGCAACCTTCTGGGGGCCATGTCCCTGTAGATGTGTATTACTTCACTGTGGATAACAGGAATGTCCTTCTCAATAGCGAGGAGGAAGAAATCAGAAAGCCTCTCTTCTGTGCATTGGCTTCTGAGTGTGTCTTTCACCAGCTTGAGCTTGGAGAAGGACCTCTCCACTGTTGCTGTTGACACTGGAATTGTTGCATAGGTTCTTATCATTTCCACCAGTGTTGGAAAGATATTCTGTCCACTGTTGTCTCTTAGTGTTTTTAATATCCCCTTCATGGGTACTTTGCAGGCACCCTCCTCTGCCTTTGCTGTCCTGGGGGGACTGTGGGGATGCTGATCCCAGCGGCTTCTGCCTTTTCGGTCTCAGGCTCGAAAATGACATTCCCAGAACAAATGACCATATCTTCCCTTCTAAAAGGGGAAAATTAATAATCTTTTCTCTCAAAGTAATGATGAACCTGTGAGTTGGATGTAGAAAAGTCAGAATCAATATAGATGTTTTTTATTTTAAAGAAAATTCAGATTTTACATAGTAAAAAACTGTAAATTAGAGTGTCCGTCCAAAAATTATTTTTTACTTATAGTGAAAACTACCCTTGGATGATGGGTTAGTAGACTAAAAGCTTTAGGAATCCAAAGTACAACATATAATAAGTACCCTGTATCAAGATTGATGCAAAACAAGTGAAATTTGACCTTTTTAGAGAGGTTTAGCAAAAAGAAACCACCTCTGAGTTGATTTGGGTGGAAATGGTTTTCTTTTCATATCTCTGGAACCCATTGGTCGATTTTGATGGTTGACACCTCTTTCTGACCGTTAGAGCCAATAGAATCGAAGGGGGAGTCCCCCACACACACTCATTGTGAAACAAAAAGGTGGGGGCTCTGCGCATGTAATTTTGCATTAGAGTGAAGCTACAGTCTAGCTCTGACATCTAGAAACGGAAAAGCATGGATTATCCGTCTCATTGCTTATGGATTATCAGAAATCATTTCAAAGGGACACAGACACATTGGATTAACCTGTGGATTAACTTCAGCAGCGTTTTTATCGTTTTAATGCCATTGAAGACCACTTTGGAGAGACTACAGAGCCAAGGTAAGAATGTTAGCATTTTTAGCTACTAGCGTCACCTGTTTTGATGTCTGTTTTTGTTTATAACGTCGCAAATTCGTATAATTCAGTGATAATGAGGGTACCCATCGATTCTGTGTCACCTCACGATGTGAATCGATGTCATGGATGTGGAGAAAAGATAAATAATAAGGTTTTGTGAGTGATTTTCGGTGCAGTAATCTGTTAGCATTTTTCGCTCGTTGCTAATTCAGAGGCTCAGTGGGTTTTCTTTTGAAAAAAAAAAAAAATGATCAGTTTGATGAGTTTCTTCCCGTTCCATGGATATAAAACATTCATAGTTTATTAAATGAACATGCCCTCAGACACTGTTTCCTGCAAGATGTTGCGGCAGTGCCCCGGTACCGGGGTCTCTCTGGCTTAACAGGTTAAGTGCTTATAGAACATTGATCTGACAGAGAAGGACCTCTTGCTGCTCTTTTTACATCCTATAAAAAGTTCATTTCTATCACAATCTCTTTGACTCTCCTCTTAGACGTGAGTACATTCCAAGTACATCCAGAGGTTTTCCTATCTTTTGTCCATTAATCTTTTCTGTCATAAAGCAGCATGTTGATGAAGCAGAGATATTTTTCCATCATCACCACAGCTGCTGTTGCTTTGGCCTTTTCTGTCCTGGGTCCATTCCTCTGTAAATGAAATATCTATTAATGTAAAAATGCGTAGTTTAAAATGTTTTCTTCCCTGCTGTGTGTACCTGATCAGCCGGAGCAGCAGGATGACCTTCAGTATGCCAGCGTTCACTTCTCCAACAACCGGGCAGACCCTCTTTACTCCAACATGAGAGCAACTCGGCCCCTCGGACACACGGAGCAACAGGAAGTCCCGGAGTACGCAGCCATCAAGTTCAGCAGTGCTGCCCCGAGGTGAGCAGATCCTCACACAGGAACATTGTTCACATATCATTTAATTCCCTTTGCATTATTATTACCACTAAAAATCTCATCATTTATCTCTCAGGACCAGAGGGCAGGACTCTGAAGAGGATCCAGCTGCATTTTACAGCACGGTCAACTAATCCAGATAAACACAGCAGGCGTTGCTTTTGAATGATGATACTTCAGTTTTTTAACAATCACATTTCTATGTCCACAGGGTAATGTGGATTTATTAAATACATGTCTCAGGGTGGACCTCTCCAAGAATGAGGCGATGACTTTTCTGCCTAGTTTTTATTAATCTGAATGGCTCAAATGTAAAGATTTTGTTAAAGGGCCCATGTCATGGCCATTTCCACTGATCATAATTACATTGTTGAGGTATACTAAAATAGATTTATACTGTGCAATTTTCCAAACTCACATTGGTTTCGCATACAGCATCTCTGTCAAGCATGTGTATTCAGCAGTATTCACTTTCTCCACTAAACGACTCGTTGGAGCTCTTGCCCCCCCCCTCCCCGTGAGCCTAGTGTGCTCCGATTGGTCAGCTCGGCCACTCTGTTCTGATTAGTCAACCACCAGAGAGGCTGCGCCCATGTCAGTGCTTTTCCCGGCTGCTCTCAGCGTAACATCAGTCTTATCATGGCGTCGGCACAGCCGTATATTTTATATACATATATATTTTTAACTGTTGTTATAGAAGAGTGTGACGGCCCCAGGGCCTTTGTCTTACGATGGGGTGGAGCTGAAGAGGCTAATCAGCACGATCACGGACACCTCCGGACACTACGGCCCCAGTCTCTCTCCAAAGCGGCTGCAGGAAGACTAACTCTGCGATCCTCTCAACCACCTATCTCTGCATTTACCACAATAAATGTGCCGTGGTTTTGTAAACTCGTGTATGTCTCCTTGTCTTTGTGGCCTACGAGCCGCTCATAATAAAATTCAGGGAAGAAAGGATAGGCCTACTAAGTATTTCCATTAAACTTTATTTTTAGAAATGTACAAAATGAACATAAATATACATATATACACGGTATATCATCCATTCCTCCTCCTCGCATCTTGCCTGTGCACAGTCGGTGCGGTGCCTTTTAGCACGACGCCTCAGTAGTAGTAGAAGTGCCTTTTAGCACGTCATGGATTGTCCGCCAGGATCTGGCTGGACGAAATCAAATGCAAATCACAAAATATTAGAGAAACTTAGTTGTTTTAGATTCGTTAGTAGTAGTTGTGTAATGAACAGCTTGCCTGCTAATATGCTAACCTAGCTTTGTTTACCTTGGTAGCTAACACGATATGAA